TTAATACTCGATCGCGAGCGGACGTGTGTACAAAGAGACTTGCCGCGGAGTGTCTTTCGAGCTGATTTTACGATGCAAATTACGAAATCAGAATGTTTCTCGCAAAAACACTTGTTTGTTTTTGTTTGTTAATATTAGAAAATATTCGTCTCTCTGAAGCCCATTCTGCAATAATCGTAAGAGTATGCAGTAAAACATAAGCTCATTGATCAGTGGTATTCTTAGGCTGGGGACAGAAAAACTTAAGCAGTGATAAAATTGACCAATCACAATCGATTATTCTTTGATCATAAAGAGAATCGTCGACAGTAATTGGTCAATTTTCTTACTGTTAAGTTTTTCGGTGTGTCTCCAGCCTTGCAGTCTTAGAATAATGGACTATAGTTGGTCAATTTGCTTATTACTTACGTTTTATTATATGTTTTTACAATTATTATAAAATGAGCTTGATAATCGCTCTCGAAATTACATGCCAGCAACTTCATACCGATCACTTGTTTTCATCGTTCTTGTTTCACGTTCTGATTCGTTGGCGGTTCGAATGTCGCGTTGATTAGGCTAGAAACATAGAAAAACTTATGCAGTAAGACGTAAGCAGTAAGCAAATTGACTAATCGCAGTTGATTATTTTTCGACGTTCTGATTTATTGACGGTTCGAATGTCGCGCTGATTAGGCTAGAAACATAGGTTGCGTTCCGTTTCACGCATTATGCGTGCATTGCCTACAATATACGTAACATGAACTATAGATAAATGCGCGCATATGCGTGAAACGGAACGCAACCATAGAAAAACTTATGCAGTAAGACGTAAGCAGTAAGCAAATTGACCAATCGCAGTTGATTATTTTTCGACCGTAAAGAGAATAGTCGATTGTGATTGGTCAATTTGTTTATTGCTTACGTCTTACTGCTTAAGTTTTTCTGTGTGTCACAGCCCTTATTCTGTAATTATCTATATAATTATCTGCACTTTTTGATCAATCGAGCCCATGTATCGATAAATCAATGTTGGGTAAGTGAGTGAGTGACAAGTGGCCAAGTGTTTGGAACGATAAACGAGCCGAACCGAGAAACAAAAATATACGCTCGTTCAATTAACCGCAATTTCTGGGACGATTAAAACGTGGCGTAGAACGTGCTGTTTACGATTCTTTGGCTTGCTACTTGCGACATGCATCCTTGCTATAACGCCTATTAAGGCCTATCTAGACAAACTATAATCACGTAATATATATGCATAAAGAAATCGAGCAATCATAATCCGTGCAATAAGAGATGATCTTATTCCCCTTGTCCACAACCTTGCTTTAATCTTTAAGCCGTAATAAATTGACCACAGTCGATTATTTTAAAAATAATCAACTGTGATTGGTCAATTTCTTACAGCTTAAGAATTAAAGCAAGGTTGTGGGTAAGGGCTTAGATACGTAATTAATTAATTTCCTTGTGCATATACGTTATGCTATTATGCAAGTTTGTGTGAATAGCTCTTTACAGATTAAAGTTCGGACACAGACTATATTCCGATATTGACTGCCAATACTGAAAACCTATAGTATACGTGATATAAGCTATATATATAAATTTTCAGTAGTAGCAGTGAATATGGAAACATAGCCTGGGCACGTATTATGGATTTTTCGGAATCGATTCCGATCGGAATATTTCCGTTATTCTCTAGATTTCTATTATCTTTTCTAGGGAAAACAAAATTATTTCGATCGAAATTGATTCCGAAGAGTTCTATAATACGTTCCCTGAAGTGTTAGTTTAGCTAAAAGTTGCAAAAAGCAACTCTCTAGCGTCGAAATCGAAACATTTTTTACCGAGATAGATAGAGAACAGCGGCCTAGTCTACAATAGCTCTACAATAACTTAGCCTTAAGCTTTAAAAACTTGACGAATCACAATTGATTATTCTCCTTACAAGTTTCTTCTCACTACCGCGACTAGCGCCTCCGCGTCGAAAGGACGCGCTGACAACTTCACGACGGTTACTTCGTTTCGACGACATTTTGATTCGGCGACATGCCGGACACAGTGCGAGTGACGAGTGATCGGTATCACAGGATCATGAAACGTGTCGATTAGGCTGCGGAATTGCAATTAACTGCATTATTCTGACCGATTTGTGTTTGGGAATTGGATGAGCGACAAGGGGACGCGAAATGGGCGAGTGACAAATAATCCAGTGTTTGTGATGATGCAACGGCCAACGAGAGGACAGCCGACGTCGACGATGACGATGACTGGTAAGTGAATAATCCATTTATTACTCGTCTCAAATAACAGTGATTTACTCCCTCTTCTAATTGCAATCTCGCGGTTAAGGACAAAGCTTATATTCTGAACTCTCTTTTATCAATAAAAGTACCTCTAAAAGAGACTTGTGAGTTTTCTGAAATCTATAAGCCACATTTAGAGACATTTTTATTGACAAAAGACCGTGTTCGTGATGCCGAGTGCAGAAATATATGTCCGATTTTCCGTGGCGTCGTTAATGTCCTTTGCTCTCTCGAGATGTCGTCACATGCACGCGTGTGATGTCGGCGTTCAAAAAAGAAAGCTACGGCAACTTCGCGCTATCATTCGAAAATGTCCAGTTTAGTCTTGCAACGCACTCCGAATCGGATGTGGTGGACGAGAATGACAAACAGTCGTTGTAAATCGCACGATCGACACTCGGAATCGCGTTTGAAACTGCGTTCTTCGATTGATCTGTATCTGCGTGATGAGCGAGCGATAAATAAATGTACAGTAAGTGGACAATAAGTAATCAAGTACGATGATTCGTAGGTGTCCGGAATAGTGCAGCCGGCGAGAGGCAATGGCTTCGAGAGTTCGTCAGTGAGTCAATTGGTGAGTCGATAACCAAATCAATGATCCAGTTGTTAATCTCAGCTCTCGGGCATCCACTCGCGCCGTTTCCATTGTCCTGATTGCAGTTCTAATTACCATCTCGCTATACCGAAATATATGCAACGTTAAAATAGGTTAGATTAGCGGCATATATGTGTGTGACATTAAGTGCATGTAGGAATTGAATTACGCTCCGGCAACAACAATCTGATTGGCAAACCATGACCTCACTTAGAGATAAATATAATATTGAGAATAAAATATTAAAAAATCAATGCATTGATGTATAAATTTCTTTGTAATTAATGTAAAATATACATTTATATTCAATATATTAATTTATATAGTAGGATAAATTAAATAATTTTTCCAACGTTGCTTAAAATACCTGTTATTACAATTGTGCTTAATGTTGATTTTTTTTATAAATATACGAATCCCGTATTACTTTATAAATATATAATAGGAAGCTCGTTAATATTTCATTGGTCCTAAAGTAACAATTTATATTAATCTTGAATGTAGCATTTGTGTATATGCGTAAAAATGTTCTTATAATATGTCAATTTCTTAATATTTAATATGTTTAATATTAATGTATAATATTCATATTAAATATATTAATTTATATGTAATATATAAAAAAATTAATATATTAATATAAAAATATTTTTTCGTGTATGTGTGTGTACAAATGCTACATTCAGGATTAATATTAACGCCAATTGATATTTTAGGGATTAATGAAATATCAGCGAACTTTCTATCGTGTTTATACAATAACATAGAATTCGTAAATTTTTTGTTAAAAAGACAACATTGAGTGCAATTGTGAGAAGTACCATGAAGCAACGTTGGAAAAGTTATTCAACTTGGACCGCGGCATCTCTCAGTTGTGGTTTACATAGGCAGCTATACTATTTCCTTTATCAAGACAAAATAAGTTCTCGCTATGCTTTTTTTAACACACAGACACACACATACGCATACACACACATATTCTCGTTTTTCATAGAACTTCGCGCCGATAACGATACAAACAAACGGGCGGATCGTTGTACACGGAGTGTGTATACATCCAGGACATCGTTCGAATACGCAGTAGCGATTCCATTGTTCCGCAAAAAGTTAATTTGTTGAGTACTGCGTGCGCTTGCGTGACCGAGGCGCTACGCCAGCTGGACGCTTTTTCGACGAACGAGCTGCCGTTACGTCGCGCGCGCATGTTTTGTGTGCTTTATTAAAACTCGCTTCATTCGCAGGATCCGCTCCGTTTCCGGATCCACGATATCTCGCGCTGTTCATGTCGCATTTTTAATTCCCATGAGGGATCTCCCTTTCTTTCGGCCGACGCGCAATCATCGGGACGCCGCGCTGCCGTGGCTTTTCGCGAAATAACGAACCGCGTTTGCGAGTTACGTCGGGGTTTTCCGCTCGAAACGGCGGATTGCCTTTTCAGCGAGAAATGGTGTTCCGAAAAAAAAAAACAGAAAGGAAAGACGACGTTTTTATTACGCGGTATTTTGTAGTTTCGGCCAATCCGCGTGTACATTCCATTTACACTCTCTTCTCACTTTAACTTATCTGATATCGTTAAAAAATTTTAAAAGAAATAATAAAATTTATGTATATATATATATATATATATATATATATATATATATATATATATATAT